GAAAGTATCTACTGACTTGAAGCCAACCATCAAAGACACATTTTTCAGAAGCGATTATAATCCTTCCAAAGCCTCAGCTCAAGATGCCGCTTCCAAGAAGTCTCCTCTCCCTCCTCTGGCACCCGCCAGGGCTTTGTTTGGGTCTCCTCCATGATGTCTGCCATTCTCTCCTTTGATTTGTGCCCATTTGATTCTGTGAGTGGGTGTCCTTGGTGCCAGGCAGGCATGAGATGCACAGGGAAGCACGTGGGCTGAGAGCCAGGGGTTAGTTAACACCTGTAAACCACTAGTTCTCTTCTGTGGCTGCACGTTGCAACCACATGGAGAGATTAAAAACCTCTGATGCCTGAGTCACACTGCCAGAAATTCTGATATAACTGGTTTGGAAAGACGCCTGGATATCAGGGTATTTAAAAGCTCGTGGGTGATTCTAAAGTGCAGCAACATTTGCGAACCACTGACATAAAGCACTCAGCACAGGGCTTGGCACAACACAGTTGCTGACACCTGTTTGCTGTTGAGCAGAGGTGGAAGGCAGGGATGGCAGACTGGAGGGCTCCATTAAAAAGGGACACATCTTGAAGAGAACCAAAATGGCGTAGATGATAGAGGCTCTGTTCATCCCTCTGGCGACCAAATTAAAGTTGTGATAGAAACAAGGAGCAGCAGAAGGAAAAATGGCCTGGGATCTTGATGAACAAGCCATAGGACTAGGGAGAAGTCCAAGAAAGCACCCTGCAACGGCAGAAGGTAGGACGGAGCGAGGACACAGGGCTGCCCGGTCCCAAGCGGCTGAGTGAAATGGAGGCAGTGGCAGTGGCAGTGGCAGTGGCAGTGGCAGATGCCTCTTAAAGGCTCTGTGTCCGCAAGCGGATTTTCCCGGTGACGGACCTGCTTGCTCTGAGCACCAATGCTGGTTCAGCTGCGCGCAGGGGGCACCAGAGACTTATAGGGAGACACTGTTGGAGTGAGGGTCAAGACGAGACTCGCTCGGTACAGAAGTGCCAGCGGTATCCATTGTTCCCTGTTGAGCCCTCCCCCATCCCAGTGCTCAGACACAGCGGCCAATAGCCGTGAGGTCATCAGACTGGATAACAAAGGTCACTCTACCCAGAGGATTCCCTGAAACCCCACCTCCCCCAACTCACAGCCTCACCCAAGCCACATCAGGTATACTCTCAGCAAGTCAGGTGCTCCTTGCTGAGCAACGCCTAGACTCACATTGGAGGCAGCTGGCCTCTGTTTCTGGTGTGGCCTTTTGAGGCAACTATAAGCACAGCATCTGTGGATTGCTTGCTGAATCTCAACAGGTGGCCCTGGAGAGGCGGAGGCTTGAGCTAAATCTGGCCTGTAGCTGAGCCCTTCTCAGGACTGTGCCTCTGGACACCTACTTCACAAATCCACACTAATAAGACCGGGAGACAGGAGCTTTGCTTAGTGCGTAGAAACAGACACGGAAAGGCAGCCAAAATGAGAAGACAAAAAAACAGAAACCATATGAGAGAATGGAACAGAGATCCAGAAATAATGGAGTCAAGTAACCTAACAGATGTAGAGTTCAAAACACTGGTTATAAAGATGCCCAATGAACTTAGGGGAAGAGTAGATGAAATCAGTGAGAACTTTCACAAAGAGGTAAAAAATATAAAAATGGAAATGGAAATTATAGAAGGGAACCAGTCTGAAATGAAAAACACATTATCTGAGATAAGAAGTATATTAAATGGAATAAATGAAGGAATAAACAGAGTGAATAAAGAAAAGGATCATATGCCCTATCTAGAGGATGCGAAAGCCAAGGACACTCAATCAGAATGGCAAGAGATAATATGCCACGCCTATAAAAATAATTTAAGGAGCATATGCGACACTATTAAGGGTCCAAATATCCATCCGATAGGCATAACTGAAGAAAATCAAGGTGCTGAACAGCTGTTTGAATAAATAATGATGAAAAACTTCTCTAACTAGTGAAGGAAATGGATATAAGACCCCAGGAAGCTCAGAGAATTTCACAAATCAGGGATCCAAAGAGGCCCACACCAAGACACATCATAATTAAAATGCCAAAGGTTAACTACAAAGAAAGAATATTAAAAGCAGCAAGAGAAAAACAGATAATTACGTATAAGGGAACACCCATAAGACTGGCAGCTGATTTCTCAAAAGAAACTATGCAGGGCAGAAGGGCTTGGCAAAAAATATTCGACAGGATGAAGACCCAGGATCTATGACCAAGAATAATTTATCCAGCAAAGCTATCATATAGAGTTGAAGGACAGATAAAGAGCTTACCAGACAAAAATGAGCTAAAAGAATTTATCACCACCAAGCCCATATTACAGGAAATGTTGGAGGGACTTCTTTAAGAAGAAAAAACATGTATCAAAAACAAGAATAAAGAATGATAGCAACTACATTCCTATCAATAAGCACCTCAAATGGAAAAGAATTAAGTGCTCCAACCAAAAGAGTGGGTGAATGCAAAGAAAAACAAGACCCCTACATGTTGCCTATAAGAGACTCACTTCAGATTAAAGGACACAGACTAAAAGGAAGGGGATGGAAAAAGATATTGCTTTGATGGACCTAGAAGGTATTTAAATCAGACAGAGAAAGATAAACACTATATGATTTCACTTATATGTGGAATCTAAGGAATAAAAAGAACAAACTAATCAAAAACAGACTCGCAAATATAGTGGACAATTTGGTGACAGACAATTTGGGTTGGGGGGTGGGAAAATGGGGTGAAGGGTTAAAGAAGTACTAATTAGTAGCTGATGGATGGACAAAGAGATGAGGAGCACGGCATAGGGAATGCAATTAGAATGAATACGCTGGCTAGGTGGAGGGTCAGGGGAGGGAGGGAGCAATTGGGGGGGACCGTTGTATAAACTATGTAGATGTCTCACCAATGTACTATATACTTGAAACTAATTAAAATAAATTTTAAAAAATTCTAAAAAAATAATAAATAAGGGGGACATATCTCAACAACAGCCATTGCATTATTGCCTTATAGGAATGAAGGCTCAGTATTGTCATTCTCCATTTTTGCAAAGAAGCCAGAAGTCTGCATTTTTATGTAAAATCTCCCATTTTTAAATGTAGACACCTAATTCTAAAAAATTGTAATAGGGTGTGGGCCAAATAAAACACAACTGTGGGCTGAATTGGGCCTGACAAGCTCACTGAAAGCTCCCTTTGCTATGTTGGCCCACGACCATGAAGAGAAGCACCCAATCTCCTCCCAGAATGGAAACTGCGCATTCACCTGCCAAGGCGTGATCTGGCCTGCATAACCTCGCCGTCCCAGGAACACGACGTGTACCCCTGTCTACTTGTTCTCATCAGCATATCTTTTCCTTGCCTTTCATGGGGACATAGCTTGATCTATACCTGGCATCCTGTGTAAGGCACAGAGTGTCAGAAGTGCAGATCTCACAGACAAGGCAGGGAGGGATGCAGAAAGAGGAAGTGGGTGAAAAAGGCGTGTTTATCAGGATGAACATCTTGGCAGCTTGCTATTCGTTTCCTTCTCTTGTTTTTCTAACCAAACAAAAGTCCTGTTAAGAGACTCAGCACCCTCTTCTTCAGAGGGCCTGAAACCATCTTCAATATCTTTCAGGGTTAAACTTAGACATTGTGATAAACAGCCCCTCTCTCTGTTTTCTCTCACTTCAAGCACTTTCAGAAGACTGATCTGAAATGCTCTCAGGCAACTGACATGACAAGAACAGCCAGGAAGGCAGCACTTAGGGGAGTCCTGCTACCAAGGAGGGGAG